TGCGCAATATTTTTTTGCATCTGCATAGTTGCCTGAAGTTTAAGAAATATTTACCAACACACAAAAACCGGACATTCATATGTTCTTTGTAACAAGAGTTATACGAGAAACCCATTTTGGAGGTTTGGGCGGTAACTTTTTGCCCCGTTAATCTACGTAGCCAAAAAACAATAGCGACCTTTCATACATGCCGAAGACCATGTGTATCAATTTGCAAAGCGATCGGACGTTTCTACACAAAGTTATCGTGCACACGGACAGACAGACGGACGGACAGACACGCAGACGGACAGACAGACAGCAATACAAAATTATAAACGATCTCGAGGATCGTTAATAAATACGAAATTTGTATTTATTTGCAACTAGATGATTTCAGGTGTTCCTGAATAACTAAATACTAAACTGTCGTTTGTCTGTACAAATTGCACCATCTCTACAGCTAAACCTGACGGCGCGAAACCGCTCGCAACGACACCGACTCTTTTGGGCCAGATTTTATTGCCTTTATATGCCATTTTATGTTTCCTGGGCGCAGTGAAGTCGTGGGTGAAGATACGTTCGCTTCTTTTCGTTGACTGAGCCCTTAATCTTCGGCCCACTACGGGAGAACGGTATATGGCAGTACTCGAGACCAAGTGTCCGCCGGCCCATGAACAAATTGCAGTCTCTTTACTAATTGCTCGTTTAAGTTGCACATCTTTTCTCGGTCAATTGGTATGATTGACTATCTACCTGAACGCTTTCTTTACAAGTTGAAAGAATCGCCATTCCTTTCGACCGAATTGGAAACGTTCGAACGTATGTTTTTATTTCTGTTAATGTTTCCCTTGCACAACCAAATTCTGCGTATTTATGCACGGTCTATTAATTATTAGTATATCGCGCGAAACAAACATCTCCCGTTTAAACGTGTCTTGTTCTTAATCCTAATAACAAATATAATGGAATCAGCATCAGCGTCTAAAAATAGAATGATTTCAAAAATTTAGTTCAAGTTAAAGACTCCCATTTAATCAATAATTATTATCAACCAAAATCATCTCAGTACTAGTAGTTTTTGTATAATCACTTTTATCAGTGCCAGTACATAAAAACTCCCTACTGGAAATGTCAGTAGGGACCTACCAGTCAAACAATTTCAAAAATACGTCAAGTTAATTATATAGTTTAAGTATTTAAGGTACTAATTGTCGGCAGCTACCTTGGCGGCTACTGATTTCGGGATAATCCCTTATATCAAGCATCTGCAAAAGGCGGTTGTGTTATATAATCTAATTATTAGAGACGCTTTGTTTTATGTTTTGAACGGTGCATTTAGACCTTGTTCCCTTTCAGAAAAATCTTTACAAACGAAAAGTTCAAAGACGTCATCGAAAATAACAAAATAAAGTTTAACTGTACAGAAAAATTATTAAGAAAAGTTGAAACGTATAGGGCCCACGCAAAAATGTAGTAATGCCGTAACATTAACATAGCCCATAAAAACTTTCTGGAGTAGGAAGCAGAAATAATTAAACTGCTTATCAAAATCCTCTACCCGTAACTTTCATAATAACATTACAGCGGCAAGCGATAATCTAATCACCGAAAGGGTCGAAAACGCCTGTAGATTGTAATGAAATCGAAGGAGCCCAGGTACACCTTCACACATGGTTCTCTTTTACACGATATTATTTAACGCAATCGCCCAATCGGCTAAATGTAAGTGTTTTGTTCTCATTTTCGGGCCGTCCGTCTAATAGCGATATAACTGGGGGGAACTATTAAATTAAATGTATACATATGATGGTATGTTCGAGACGTGTTATCACAGTATTTATTTTATTTATTGGAGTTCCAAATTGTGTCTTTATACGAAATTGATTTATCCTGCTTTTGACTTGCATTTATGATGTCTCATGTGTTTCGTTTTTATGAATTTGATTAACGGGTGCATTTGGTTCGATTTCCTGATTTTTATCATACAATTTTAGATGTTTTATTTGTTGATTTTCTCTTACATTTTGTTGTCGTAGTTTTATTTTAATTGTATTTCTGTGGGTTATATCAGGTTTTTTGTCCCTAGAAGGTTTTCCTGGTATCACTCGGTTGTGTGCGTAATAATTTGATTTGTTTTTTTCTTTTCTTACGCATAAAATTCTGCGTGTTATTCTATTCCCTCACGATTATGTCTCACGTCTCAACACATAAAAGAACCGACCTACTGGGTATTACATTACGCACCGTGGTATTACATATCGTAGTAGTCCGAGGAGGCTGTAACTGAGATTGAATTTGACTTGAAAATTGGGTGGCCCTGCTAATCGTTATCGTTATCAACTGTACGTATAGGGTAAATCACGAATTGCAGTGCCGGTTTGGGGGACCTCTAAGATCATTACAAGACTTTTCGAATAATTTGGATTTTTCCACTTCTCTGTATTTTTCAAGTTCTTTTAATTATTCGGGTTCAAGTATAGCTGATTGATTTTTATTATGACAGGAGCTACAAGTTTTAGGTTTCCCCTGTCTGCCTTTCGTTTCAAGACCAGGACTTCTGGCTGGGTGCTTCGGCAAGTGGCAGTGTCAGAGTTGTTTTCCTCCTTCAAATTATCTACGGTCCGCTACAGTAATATACATTTTAACCGTTGGAACGAGTTTAAGGGAGCTTTCGTCCATATTAAGATACGGCGCTTTTTGAAATTGGTACATGTAAGATTTAAAGGGCAGTACTTTCTGGACCGTGTAAGTTTTCATATGTACCTACCGCTTTATGCAAATGAAATCTTGAGTAGGTTTCATAGCGTGGGTTAAATAACAAGTGCTGCGATAAGAACAGACGCGAGTTGTCAAGTTTGCGTTGGTTCCGTTTTGTAAATAAAAGAAAATCGCCCGAGCGGTCGTAAACGAAGTTAGTTAGTTTGAATTTAATTTTTTTCCAGAATATTACGCATCAAATGAAACGCGTACGACGACATTATTATCGACTTTGTTTAATTTTCCTCCATATTAATTGCGAATTAAATGTGGGGTTAAGTGCAAAAGCACAGCGAAGCAGCAGGAAATTGCTCTCTGCGAACTGCAACTTTGGCATGAGCGCGTAACATGTAATTATTGCATTTAGTTTCCTTTTTAGCGCATTTCCACAAAAATAAAAAAAATGCGCTATTGTGGCCACTTTGTCCGTCCGTCCGTCCGTCCGTCCGCTAACTTTGCGACGCCGACGCTACTAGTTTTTTATCTTAAGAGCTATTGTTCTACTTTTTTCGCTATTTGGTTCGTTATGGTGTCGAGTCTTGTACCAAGGAAGGAATTTTTTCTGTACCGCTTACAAAAAAAGTTATGTAAAAAAACAAAAAACCGTTTTTTACATGTTCCATAATTTTACACTTTTGCCGTTTATTAACGATCCTAAAGATCGTTTATAATTTTGCATTGCTATCTGTCGCCTGCCGGTTGGTCTCTCCGTCTGTTCCTTTGTCTGTCTGTCCATCTATCTGTCCGTGTGAACGATAACTTTGTTTAGAAATGTTCGATCGCTTTTACATCTCCGTTAGTTATGAACTAAATTGCATGAAATTCAATATGGGCATAGCTTTAACCATATAATACGCAATGCCAAAAGTTGAATCGAATCGATTCAAAATTCACAGTGCCCTTTTCGCATCTCGACCATTTATAAGCCGAATTGCAAACTTTTTTACTTATAAAAGTATTTGAATGAAATTTGATACATAGGCACTTGGAATAAAGGAAAATCAAACGTCAATTTCAAAATTTGGTTTGCGCATGCGCAGTGCCAACTTTTTTATTTATGGAAGAATTTAAACGAAATTTGATACATAGGCACTTGGGATAAAGGAAAATCAAACGCAATTTCAAAATTTGGTTTTGCGCATGCGCAGTGCCAACTTTTTTATTTATGGAAGAATTTAAACGAAATTTGATACATAAGCACTTCGAATAAAGGAAAATCTAGCGCTAGTTTCAAAATTTTATTTTGCGAATGCGCAGTGCCAACTTTTTTATCTATGGAACTATTTAAGTGAAATTTGATACTTAGGCGCTTGGAACAAAGGAAAAGCTAACATTAGTTTTAAAATTTAGGTTTGTGCATGCGCAGTTCCAACTTTCTTATTTAGAAAAGCATTGAAATGAAATTCTTCTCATAAACTGAAATTGAAGTAGCACGTCAACAATGGATTGCCCATGTGCAACGCTATCTTTTATATTTGTGGGCGGATTTTTACGATTTTAACAGAAGTTGCATCTTACAAATGGGAAATGAATGCAAGTGGAAATGCGCTTTATGTAAATCGTTACGATTACTTTTTAACTTGTTTTATTATGTATTTATTTCATTTTATGGTCATGCTAATAAAGACATTGTTATTATTGTTAAAAAACTGTCGATTTTTATAGCAGTTGTACAAAAAAATTCATGTTATGGAACATGTGGACTTTTCTCATTGCTTATTTTGTAAGTAAACGCCCTCAAAACCTTACAGTAGAATTTATCAACAGTAGCCGCTTGTGGCGTTATATTCAAATTGAAAACTGAAAATCGATACCTCCGGATTATTAAGACTGACAAGCAGGAAACTTAAAAAACATTCCGCTGTCTGCAATTTCGTGGGGAACGATTTATGTCACAGTGTAAAATTCCTTTGATAAAAAATGAAATTCCAGAAATGGCTTCCTACAACAAAGTAGTCAACCGCATGGATTTAATATGTGTGGCGTACGGGTGTTCTATTGTGACTTCGTACACGATGGCGTTCCGATTGTCATCTTTTGAGAGATTGTACGAAATATAGGCTTATACTGTATATCAATCCTTCCTCGTGTACTCCCCTTATAATTTGACACACAAAAAGTACTTCACCAAACCACAAATGCCCTCAGCATCAAAACACGAGTGACACGACTCAAGTAAATCTTTGAATACAAAATTGGGAGTAAATGTAAAAATTTTCATAATGCCATCATTTTAAATAACGGCACGAACCACCTCTTACCTTGAAATGAGAACCATATATTTACAAGAAAGGGATGTTCCAACTTCGTTAGAATCTCGACCTCTCTGAGCACATTTTTCAGAGCGTCGCGTTCCAAGCACTGGTGTTTGTTCATGTACTTCATGGCGAACATTTGCTTCGAGTCCTTCTTTTGCACGATGCAGACCTGAAAATAAAAGCAAAACCGTTTTAAATACGAAAATCCTTTGAAAGTAGACGCGGAACAGAAACGCGTTTTAGCTTAAAAGTAAAGTGGCTGCTATAAAATTCATCATATCATATCTAGGTCACATGAGACTGCGGGAATTTATGATCGCTACCGTATACAATTCATTACTGTAGGAAAATTGCACCTCTAAGTTCCAACAGAACTGCTTTATTGAGGTAATAACTCACTTCTTATAAAATACACGTTTCATCGTTCAGTGGGTTAATTAAGGAGAGAGAAAGCTACTGAAATCCAATTTGCTATCTATTGTCGTCAACACAGCGATAAAATTAACGACGCCGTGCCAACGGTGTGCCAATTAATTAATTCGCCTCTAATTTAGACATACATCTTAGAGATATTAGGGAAACTATCAACAACGTAATGCCGCTATTTCGGATCCGCGATAACATAATCGGGACAGTATTTTTGATAGAGCGGAGTCGACTTGAGCATAAAAATACATATGTGCGAGAACGCTGATTTAACTGTTTTTGCGACGACACCAGTGAGAGGAAGTACGTGACAGTTCGGCTGAATAAGATCCGTCGTTATCTAGCGTGGGTTTGGTGCAGAATCCGCGTGAGTAGTTTCCGTCAGGATACGTTCGAGATGTATAGCAATTTTAATTTCTGGTGATCTGATTGGCTGGAAGAATGTATTTCCTTGGTAACACAGAGCGGGATGTTCGACGGGTGCAGTTAAAAAAATTCAAGTGGTGGGGAACAGTTTGTTCGAATAATAGCCGCGCGCATTACGCGGTTAGCCACGAGATACTTCGCATAAGACAAGATGGAAAAGTTTATTAAGTGAATCGATCGCATTAATTATTGGGTGGTTATATTTAGCTAGTAAAAAGAATCAGATTGTGCCGTGTAAACAATAGCCGTCGCAAAATTCGTCTAAGCTGCGAAAAAATAAGAAGAAAGTCACGCTGTAAACGACGACTGTGTGCGCGTTGGTAATAAACAAGAAAGTCTAAGTCAATCACTCTTGAGTTTAGCGTAGGGTAGTCAAATCGTGGTTAAGGAGCAAAAAATTTCCTGACTTTTATGTAAATAACTATGAACTATGATAGTTCCATTTGGAAAAGTTTATTACGAACCTAAAAATATCATTCAAACATTTGAGTGACCCGTCACCGTTCACTTTTAGCGGGGGTTTGGGGGGTATTAGGAGTGACATTGTGCAAACATTCTAATTATGGTGTTTATATTGAGTTTTGACGATGCCGGCGAGCGGTGCGGACGTACTTGAACCATCTCATGAGAAAATTTGTAAAAAGTGTAACAGAACACCTCAAGCATTTTTGGAGTGTATTTCTTGTGGATCTGTGTACCATCCAGGCTGCGCTAAACGTCTGCAAGGTGTAAAAATTGTGGACGATAAGCTATTATACTGCTGTGAAAGTGATAACCAAAAATCTAATGACGATAACTTTCAAATCCCCAGTGTTTCAATGGAGATGCTTTTAGTGGAAATTAAGTACTTGAAAGACTTACTAGTGGAAAAAGATAAGGTGATAGACTACCAAAAATTAACAATTGAAGCACTACAGAATGTAAACGTCCTTGCAAACAGACTGCAATCAGCGCTATTGAATGAAGATGATAAGTTATTGAATAGTTTGACCTCTACCTCGATAACCAAAATAAATGTACCTAATGCAACCCAACCGGCTGCAGGGAAATCAGCTTCTGTTAACGAAACCCGGGGATCATCTCAGGGGAGCGTAAATAAAAAAATTCGAGGAAAGCTCGACACCCATCTAGTAGTTCTGCGACCGAAGTCGTAGCAAAAGATACCGGTTCTGGAAATAAATGTTCAGAATCTGTGTCATACGTGGCTGCTGTAAAAAAGTCCTCAAGCGAGTATAAGGGTACCAATGCAAAAGTAAGTCAGAAATCTGAAAGTGATTGGAAAGTTGTAAGTAGGAAAAAATCCAAACGTGAAAATGTGGTCGTGGGGAACAAAGCAATTGAAGCGCAGTGCAGCATCAAAGCGGCGGTTAATAGGGTTTACGTTCATGTATATAAACTGGACCCTGAGACCAGTTCTGAAATGCTACACGATTACCTGAAGGAGACTTTTCCCGAAGTGATCTGTGAACAACTTCAATCAAAGCACCCTAACTACTACTCGTCCTTTAAGGTTACGGTGCATGATATCCATAAGGACAAAATCATGGATCCATCATTATGGCCTTCTGGGGCTTGCATCAACCGGTTTTTTCACAAACGACCGATCGTGAACACAAAGGAATGAGTGGTGAGCCAACGGGTAACTGGGGCGGCCCAAATGCGGTAACTGTTTTTCATATTAATATTCAAAGCCTCAAAAACAAATTGGATGTCCTTGAAACTTTTCTAATTGATAAGAACTTTGATGTGGTGTGTGTTAGTGAGCACTGGATCACCGATGTTGACACTCTGTCTACTTTGAACCTAGGTGCATGGTATGTAGCCTCGTATTTTTGTAGAGCTAATTCAATACACGGGGGTGTATTAATTTTATCTAAAAACAACTATAAGGCGAAGCAACTTAGTGCTATTAATAATGCTGCGATTGAAATTCATTTTGAAGTTTGTAGCATTCAGCTGGGCGCCGATGTCATAATTATTTCAATCTATAGATCTCCGCTTGGGGATTTTGGCATTTTTTGTGGAGAGTTGGAATCGGTCCTTCAAAAGTGGGAAAACAGTAAAATAATACTAGCTGGTGATTTTAACGTTTCTTTTACCTCAGGATGCCCAAAAGCAATAACTTTGTGTGAATTATTAACCCAGTTCGGTTTTATACAAACAGTGTTCACACCTACTCGTAATCATAACTGCATAGACAATATATTTATTAATTTTTCAACCAATAGTTTTGCATCTGGAACTATTGATTGTGACTTTTCAGACCATATGGGTCAAGTAATCGAAGTGCGAGGTACGCAATCACCGTACATTAAACAGTATCAAACTACAATCCATCGCCCTTTAACGGAGGTAGGGTGTTGTGAATTTTTTTCGAAGTTTTGTATATATGACTGGAAGTGTTTATTAACAAACGAAAAGTGCGGAAGTCCCTCTTTTTCCATTTTTTTTAAAGAATTTTATAAGACCTTTCTAGTGTGTTTTCCGACTCGCGTAGTGAACAGTAGGCCTTGCGATCATAATGTAAGCTGGTTTACCGAGAGACTTAAATGCCTAAGAGATAAACTTCATCTGTTTACCAAGCTGTACAAGACATACCGTTTCCCTAACTTGTATCAAATTAAGAAGTATCTGTATAGTCAATATAAAAAGGAGATCCAAGCGGCTAAAACCGAAGCGAACAATAAGTTAATTCGTGGTTCGAACAATTCAACTCGCGTAATGTGGAAAATCATAAACGCTCATACGAACTCAAATACCCACATTCAATCAACACTAACTGCTGATGAATTTAGTGTATACTTTTCGAACACTGCTAATAGTACTGATGATAATGATCCTGGAAGGGACATAGATCCACTTCACTATTGTACTCAAATAGATCAAGCCTTGCATTTTGAGTTTGTGCAGGTTTCTCAAATTACAGTTAGGCATTCTTTGAGAAAACTAAAAACGGGAACATGTAGAGACATTTACGAACTAAACGCAAAATTTATAAAAAGTAACATGAGTTTACTGGTACCGCCTCTTACTTTTGTTATTAATTCTATTATTTCGTCGGGGGTTTTTCCCGAAGAATTAAGAACTTCATTGGTTATTCCAATTCCAAAAAGACCTGGTGCGAGTGATATTACCGAATTTAGGCCCGTGTCTATCCTTCCGGTTTTCTCAAAAGTCATTGAAATAATTCTATACGATCAGCTTATAGATTATTTCGAAAAAAATGATTTGTTCTACGATAAGCAGTACGGCTTCCGGAAAGGACGGGGTACGGCTAAAGCAATTATAGACTTTACGGGAGTTATACTGGAAGGCTTTGAAAGACGTTTGAACACTGTAGCAACATTTATAGATCTTTCAAAAGCTTTCGATTGTGTCGCGTATGATATTTTAATTAGTAAACTCAGATGCATTTATAATTTTAGTTATAATAGCGCCAACTTGTTAATGCCTTATTTAAGTAATCGTTTTCAGTGTGTATCTTTTAACAATCAACGTTCGGATGTTTTACCGTTAAGAAGAGGAGTACCGCAGGGGTCCATTCTTGGTCCCTTGCTGTTTCTTATATATGTTAACGATTTACCTCTGTGTCTTCCATCTAATGTAACCTGCATCTTATATGCTGATGACGCGACGCTTATTTCCAGCGAGAGTGATGCTAGGTTAGCTTTTGCTAAATCTAATGATAGTTTAAATTTAGTTAAGGATTGGTGCCTAGCAAACAAATTGTCAGTGAACACTACAAAAACAGCCCTCATGAATTTTACTTTAAAAAAATCGGACTCAGGTACTTACGTTACTGTACCGCATGTTAAATTCTTAGGATGTGTTATTGATTCACGTTTAAGTTTCGGTCCTCAGTGTGAGTTGGTTGCTAAGAAACTATGTAAATTAATATTTCTCTTACGTCGACTTGTTAGCAACGTCTCTAGTAATATTGTTAAAGCAGCATATTTTGCATTAGTACAAAGTACCTTGTGCTATGCAATATTGACCTGGGGACATTGCTGCTCTTGGCATAAGGTGTTTAAATTACAACGAAAAGCTGTTCGAGTCATCGCCGGGCTTGGTTATCGTGATGATTGTCACAAGGCTTTCAAAAACCTTGGAATATTGACGTTTCCTTCATTATTTATATTGGAAGCAGTTTTGTATATTAAGAATAATATATCTATGTTTAATCAGCAATCAGATAAACATGACTATAACACAAGACACAAACTAAATCTGAATACAAAATTCTGCAGATTGTCAGTTACGCAAAATGGAACTTTGTTTCAGGGCCAGTCTCTTTACAACTGTCTCCCTTTAAATGTT